CCCCAAGTGAGAAAGAAAAGAAAAAGAAAACACCTGTTACAAACGTGCATGCTCAAGCAAAACAAATTCATGTCCAAAAACATACTTTTCTCCATCTGTCTTCTGAGTCCACGACCTCTCTGTCAGGTGGTGGCATAATATGTTTTATCATGAGTCCTCTGGAATCATGGAATCATGTAGGTCATTGTCTTGATCAGAACTCCTAAATTTAATAAATGCTTTTCATTCATTATCAGCCCTGAGCCTTTCTTTCTCTTGCTGTCTTAGCATTTACATTCCCTCTTGTGACCTGAAGAGCAAGCCAGCTCAGGAGTGTTTGAAGAGGAAGAAGGAAATCAAAGAATTTATATTTAGATGCCCTCCATGCTTTTATGAGTCATTCCCTAGAAATCGATAACAGCCATTGTAAACTCCACTAAGCCTGGCTCTTTCATCAGTTCCTAGTAAACATTGCTATACTTATCCTCCCAGTTACTTATATTTCTTTTTGTTTTTTCACAGTGTGGAATTAGATTAATCTTGAGTCTCTGGGATATAAATAGTAGGAGAGGCTCACAATGAGATTCAATTAAAGCTAGCATTCCAGAAACTTTGTAGTGCCTCATATTTAATTGACCAGTCTCCAATATATCAACAGGAAAGTAGTCTATGGGACCTGCAGTAAGGAGAAAAAAAACCATCAACCCTGCCTTTGACAGTTAAGTGGTTCAGTGGATAGACCATTGAGCTTAGATTTTGACTTCAGATACTTACCGGTTGTTTGACCCTGGGAAAGTCACTTAATCATGGTCAGCCTCAGTTTCCTCAACTGCAAAGTGGAGGTGAGAGTGGCACTTCCCTTCCAAGGTTGTTGTAAGAATCAAATGAGCTAACATTTGTAAAGTACCTGGTGCATTTGTTGTTGTTAGTATATTAGTCGTGTCCGATTATTTGTGATTCCTTTTGGAGGTTTTCTTGGCAGAGACGCTAGAGTGGTTGGTCATTTCCTTCTCCACCTCATTTTAGAAATGAGGAAACTGAGGAAAATAGGATTAAGTGATTTGCCTAGGGTCACACAGCTAGTAAGTGGCTGAGGCCAAATTTGAACTCAAGTCTTCCTGACTTCAGGCCCAGCATTCTTATCTACTATGCCACCTAACCGCATTGTGGCATCTTCATAAATGCTTGCTTTCTTCCTTCTTTTCTTTCTTTCTTGCCTTGGATCTTAGTACAGATTTAAATTCCAACTTTAGTGTCATATATTCTGATCATCTGCCATTAGTTCACATGTATTCTGTCTGTAGAAATCTACTGAGAACACAGCAGATCAGGTTTGTAAAAGATCAATAGAATTTAATAAATGTTAGGGATGAATCACCTTAGTAGAGAGTCATTTACAATGCATGTTAATACAGGTGGGGAATAATATTGATTGATTCGTATTTTCCTTCCAGCAGGATGGGGTTCAGAAATCTTGGAGAGGTCTTGGTTCTGATGCTGGATAGTTGGTGTGAGTTAGTTGTAGGAACATTTCCACACTCTAGATCAGCAAGGGCTGACAGCACAAAACAAGCACCGACTCTCCTTGCCAGCTAATTCCAGATTTCAGTTTGATCTGTAATTGTCAATTTAACACATCAAATAATTAGCCCTGCTATTTTCTTTTCCCAGGAGTCTGTGCTAAATCTTTATATTTGGACTAAGAAATCAGTGTACTTTACTGAGCACAGATCTATGATTTTATTATCATACTAAGCCCCACTAATTCGTATTTAGGATATGGCAGGCAGGCTTTCCAACAAAACACAATTAGTGGACTTATCTCCAGATTGGACTTTCAAGATCTTCCAGTCAAACCCCATCTTATTTTACAGATTCAACTCATTTCAGCATTTACCTACAAGCACACTTACATGTGCCAGGCACTGAGCTATGTCACTGAGATACAAAGACAAAAACCAAGGCTACCCCTGCCCTCAAGAAGGTTATACTCTCTCAGATAAAAATAACATGTACATAGCTAAGTGGATAAAAAGTAAATTTGATAGACATCTGGAAAGACTTCATGTAGTAGGTGGCCCTTTAGCTAATCACTGTAGGGACCAGGACTTCCAAGAAGGACTGATACCCAATCTGTGTAAAAGCACAGAGATTAGATGTTTAATGTCATGTATAGGGATCAGAAAGTCATTCCATTTGACCAAAATGCACCACTTGTGAGGGGAAGTAATAGTAATTCTAAAAGATAAGTTGAAGTTAGACTGTGAAGGGCTTTGAATACCAAACAGAAGAGTTTGTGTTTTATCCGAGGACCAATAGAACCAATAGAACATGGTCATGCCTGTGTTTTAGGAATATCAGTTTGGCAGTTGTATGGAGGAAGGATTTAAGAGAAGACAGAATGGAGGCTGGGAGATCAATTAGAAAGCTATTGTCCTAATCCAGCCAACAGGGGACCAGAGGCCTGAACTAGAGTCATGGCCATGTGACTGGAGAAGGAAACTGAAGCCAGGAAAGTGAAATGCTTTGTGTGAGTTTGCACCAGGGAGTCAAAATCGGTATTCACATGTAGATCTTCTAATTCCAATTCCCACATTCTTTCCATTACGTCACACAGTGTCCCTTTGTTCACTGAAAGCTGGGACTGAGGTGATAATTTCAGTTTTGTCCCTCTCCCAATGAGATGGAGCAGAAACCCTACCAAGAGATAGCAATAGAAAGTGTGAAAAATGATGCTTATTATTAGTGTTCTCTGGTTGTGGAGGTTTAAAAGAAATTGTTACTCCATGTGACAAAAGAACAGAGTTTTGGTCATTCAAATATTCTGGCCAAGAGTTTAACTTGCATTTATTTGGTGATTCACATGACATTGTAGAATTGGGAATTGTTTAAGGGTCATATTATCATTGTTAATCACTATTATACTGACAAAACCAAGAAGTGCCACTTTATAGAAATATTTGGTCATCAGCATGTTAAGTTACATTAGTTTTTTATAGTTATATTAATAGCAGGGGTAATATACCTAAGGTCCACAAATTTTTTTAAATTAATAACTGTATTTTAATATAATTGGCTTCCTTTGTGATCCTATGTATGCACTTAAAAACAATATTTTGAAAAGGAGTCCATGTGTAAGCTCAACTAGAATGAAAAGGGGGTAACCCCTATGACATAAAAAAAAGTTAAGAAAAGGTTAAAAATCTCTAAATTATATAAATTATATAAATCTCTAAATATAAAGGAAGGTTGAAACTCCCTGCCACCTCAGCCCCACTTTCCTTTCCTTTGCTCAGTGCTCCAACCAATAAAGTCAATCTGGAACAATTCTTGCCCATCTTTAGAGCATTTATTAGAAGAGTCTCTAAGTGTCTACTTTTGGATATTTTCTTTATAATTCTCCTAATTAAGAAATACCACAAGAAAATTATACTGTAATGTTGCATAAATGACTATAGAAAATTATAACTCCACAATGACACCAGTCAATAAATGAGAAAAAAGAAAATAGAAGAAATCCATACGACTCTTGAGTTTACAAGCTTTTTTTACATTTTTATTAAAATGTTAGTCTTTAAGTCATAGAAATTCACTCTGCATTGATCTGTCAGAAGCCATCGATCTGCTTCAGACATATCTAAGAAATATGTCCACTATAACCTGCCTCAGCAGAATTTATAATATACCTATTTTTTTTCAAAACAACACAGAAATGTCCACATTTGGCAAATTTGTGTAAACTAGGCAAAACTTCCCACTTGTTTTTTGCTTTAAATAAATGTTATAATGACTTTGCATGTTTTTGAAAGCTACACTGGAAGGAACACATTAAATACACTGGCAAAAAGCTATAGATGTTAGGTCTGTCATGCATAAAGGGAGTAGCAGTACAAACCTTGAGAGTGTATATAACAGTCGCAATTTGTGCTTTAGGTCAACCACGCCAGAGGTGACACACAAATGAGGAGAGGTAACAAAAGGGCTATTATTTGCAACAAAAACATGGGGTCTAACCCCCCACAGTAAAGGACAGTGGTTTTGCAAAATGTAATGCCTTGAAGCTTACACACAAAATACATACGACAACACAATCAGAGAAAGGAAAGATGGGAAGGAATACCCAAGCCTGAAACCCCTCTGAAGGGCAGACAGCTTTTCTGACCAAAAAAAGAAAGGCAGGAGAACCCAATGCATTTAGGGTGTGGAAGGAGGGAGATTTATTTGATGCGCCTATGAGCATTAATAAGAGTAATCCACTTTCTTTACCCTCAGGAGAATCCAATGGCCTTGGGGAGTAGGGGTTCAGTTACCTGAAATGCTTATCTTTTTTTTCATAGGGGTTTGAATTTGTTGGTACAAGTCACTAGAAGAGGTGCCATCGCTCTTCCAGGAACCACCTTCAGTCTCCCACCAGAAATTCATCTGAGAGAAGCAAACCTTAGAAATAAGTATTTATTGGATGTTTCAGCTTCTCATTCATTTCAGATTGATTTTCCAGGGAATCCAGTTTATATAAAGTTGGGTAGAAATTGTCATATAATTTCAAGAGGGAATGTATTCTATGCAAAAAAAAAAAGTTAAAGATAACCCATTCACATCTCTTTAATGCACTTTTACTCCTCCTGGTCTTCATTTGGCACCTTTCAGGTAATTCAGTAAGAAGGAGAAAAACTGCAGTGTCCTGGACACTTTTCTTTTCTTCTCAGTCTCTCTTGATACCTAACTCTGAGTTTCTTTTATGTCCCTTTCAGTGACTGATGGGACTGTTAGGCGGTCCAGTGGATAGAGTGCTGGGCCTGGAGTCAGGAAGAAGAACTAAGCTCAAAACTGGCCTCGGACACTTACTCATCATGTGACGCTTGGACAAGTCACTTAACCCTGTTTGCCTCAGTTACCTCATCTGTAAAATGAGCTGTAGAAGGAAAACCCCAAAGGCAGTCATGAAGCGTTGGACACAACTCAACATCAGACAAATAGTTATTGATAAAGACTGGACCTGTGATCAGCATAATAGAAGGAATTCTCAGTAAGTAAACTCCTTCTACCAAAGCGGGTTGGTAACTTCTCTGCAACTTACAGTTTTAGTAAGTGGCCTAGAGCACTGAAATATTAAGTGACTTGCCCAGAATTATTCCACCAATATGTGTCAATGGAAGGACTTGAACCCAGGTGTTCCTGGTTCTGAGACCAGCTCTTTATTCCCAGCTGCCATTCTCAGTTACTGATGCTGTAACAAGATGGGAAGGGGGAAGAGGATGCAGTATTTTGCAGCTACATATATCCTCTCCAATGCTTATTGCAACCTAGAGGATTGTTCTGTGAAGCTTTGGTGCTAGGTGTTACTAGTTAACCTTTTCCACAACCGGTGGTAGTGGGTACTTCATTTTCCATTTGTATAAGATAGGCAGGGGATGGATCCCCTCCCTATATCACAGTATAAGTAAGGAGAAATCATTGTGAGATGTCAGTGAAAATAGTTTAACCTCTTAGGATGAAAAGGTGGCTGGATAAGGATTTTTTAAAAAAACTCTTAACAGTTTAAGCGATATTTAGGGACACGAGACATTTGGTCTTGTCTTTATGACCTATTATTTGCAGCTATCTTGGGCTTCCTTCCGACAGCTGTTGTCCTATGCCAGCTGAGTGATTTTCTTAGGTTCCTAACCTCCCAGGTGAATATAGGAGAGAGGATGAGAAGTCCTAGGGAAATGTATAGAGGGGCAGGGCAGAACCTCTGTAGTTTCCACAAAGTAGAATGTGAACTTTACCATTAACACTGGTGACACAGAGACATATACAAAAATAATAATAATACTTGGATATATATTTCCCTTTCCCATCTCTGCATTTGGCACGCACACCATAAGAGACTGCAATGCCTATCCATGGGATCACACAATACGGTCAACCTTGAGCACGCTGAGCCCTAGGGCTCCAGCCCTTGCTAAGAATCCACTTTTGGGAAGATGCTGACTTTATTGTTTCTGCTGATCTTCCGCTCCACCTTGCCTGGCTTGGTCAGCTTGGTCTGGATCAGTTCCTCTGGAGTGTTCCCCAGTGGAGGAAGTAACCGTTTCTTGCTGTTTCGGTTTTCTGAGAACCACTGGGGAGGCAGCTCAAAGGGTCCAAAGCCAAATTGTAGGGAATATTTTTCAGGGGCCACCTCAACCTCTGCAGGCATTGCCAGCACTCCATGGCCCACGGGATCTACAGTACCAGGTGGTGCTGGCAGAGTGGCAAACTGTAGCTCTTGCTCTACCTCCAGGCTGTCGGTGGGGATTTCCTTTACCTGGTAGTCGGTGGAGCTAATGGACTTGATCTCGTTCTCCTCCTCATCCTCTGTGGACTTGAAGATCTGTTGCTGTCCAATGTGGAACATCTCCAGGAGCTGGCTTCCTGAGCGCACACTGGGTTCCAGGGTCCCATCAGGGACCCCACTCCCTGAGCTAACCACATTGCGACGACTGTATCGGCGGTGAAGTTGAACCAAGGTTCCCACCAAGCACTTGCGGACAGATTTATTTACAGTCAGAAAGAGTACAGGGTTGGCCAGGAGAGACACTTTTGGCAACCAGATGGCAGTGAGTAGGAGGAAGACTGATGTATCTGAGACATTGAGCACCACCCTGTAGACAACCAAGGTGGCATAGGGGACACTACATAAGATGAATATTGTCACCATAGATAGCAGCATAGCATGTAGCTCAGCCTCCCTCTGGGAGGCATAAGGGATTGAGATGGTATTCTGTGGAGTCCGGAGAGCTGCAATGATGACCTTCTTCTTCTGACTGGCACTCAAGGCCCGGCGAATGAGAATCATGAAGAGGAAGACCATGGCCACAGGTACAATGACAGTAGTGATGTTATAGATCAGGACATACAACAGGTGGCCCAGGTTATAGTTCCAGACATCTGTACAGGTAGACATGGCATAAATGTCAGCCACATTGGTCACAGCAAACACAGGAATGCTAGCCACCACAGCATGGGCCCAGATGTACATTACCAGCTCACGAGACTTGGCATCAGAGATTTTTCTCTCTAATGGGTATAGGACGGTAGTACCTGCAAGACATTGAAGAAAAAAATATTTTACAACAGAAAAAATATTTTAGATTATTTGATTACTAAGTTACTAAAAGGATAGAGGTAAAACATGTTAAAAAATATTGGGTTATTCTCTTTTACTCATGGAAACAGAGGAGGCAGAAACATTATCTAAGGTACTAGGGCCTTTGCTGCACAGTTCTAGAAGCATCACTAGCCAAATATAGAAACCTAAATGAGTGGGGAGACAGAATTCTAGAGTCCTAATTATAGAATTTCAGGGCTGGAAAGAATTCTTTCATTATACAGATGACTGAGGTTAAGTAATTTGTCCAAGGTCAATTCCACAAGCTTGTCCTTGGCACTTCTGAAACTCTTCCATGTTTTTTATTAGGATTGGTCAAAGAGAAGACTAAATGATAAGTGCCTTCAAGTATCTGAAGGTCTGTCTTATGGAAGAGAGCCCCATAGGGAAGGAGCAATATGTGGAAAGGGTAAGAAGGAAAATGTTGTATTAATGTCAAGAAAATCTTCCTAACAACTAGAACAATCCCAAAGTGGAATGGGATGCTTTGGGAGATAGTAGGTCTTTCCTCTTCCCCATCCCCATTGGCGTTTTTCCAGTAAAAGCTAGATGAACAGTCAGTGGTTACATTGTAGTAGAGTTTCTTTTTCAGGTATGGGTTGGAATACATGGCCACAAACTACATGACCTTTCAACTCTAAATTCCCAGATTCTTATGTGAGGAGAACAATAGCAAAATAATTTCAATATATTCAAAGTTATGTAAAGCTCCATCATCATAGGTATGAACAGTCACCCAAAGCACCCCTATGATGTGACAGGAGTCATTCTCCCTTGAAGATATATTTATTTTTCAATTCAAAAATAAAAGATAATTTCCAGAATTTTAACTTAGAGGCCTTGAATGTAAACTTATGATACTGTCTACTCCTGCAGATGTCACAGCCACTAAAAGAAACATGTCTGTGCTCAGATTCAAACTACACTCTCACACAGTTACTTCTGTACTAAATATGATTAACTTCAGAATTGATCTGGAAAGAGGCCAGTATGAAGAGTGGACTCTGGTCAGGCACTTTCACAAAATCAATTCAGCAAGTTAAATCGGGCCAACTCAATATTCACCTTTATAATGTTGGTCAATCAATATCCCTAACAGTAATTAAGTGATTTTAACCACCTACAAAATTAGATTTATATCAAAATCAGATTGGAGAGAAGTGGGGTGGGGGGGCAGTTTATCATTTCAAAAGAAGAAAAATACTAATGAGAATTAAAGCTATAGAAATCTGTAACCCCCCTTAGTATACTCTAGGGTGACCATCTGTTAGAGTTTCATACAGATGCTTGGGGAATTATGGAATTCTTCAGATCACTGAATATTTTCTGTCTAAAAGCTATAGTCTCCTATAATCAGAGATCACATAGGATAATAGATTTAAAACTAGAAGGGAACTTCAAGGTCATCTGATCCTACTCCTTAATTTACTAGCTCTGAATTTGTAATCAAACCCCAACCCCTTTTATGGATGCAGAATGGATAGGTCATTAGATTTGAAGTCAGGAAAACTTGGGTTCAAATCTCACCTCAGACACTATGTCTGAGTTGTGTGACTTTGGACAATTCATTTAACCTCTGCCTCAGTTTTATCAACTATAAAATAAGGATGATAATAATAGGACTTACCTCCCAGGTTTATTTTGAGGATCTGTAAAGTGCTTACCACAGTGCCTGGCACACATAGTAGGTATTTAATAAATGGTTGTTTCCTTTCTTCTCTTCTGTGTGAAATGGTAGCAATAAGAATAAAAAAAGTTTTCTACTTTAAAAAGAGGGGTGTGTGTGTGTATGTGTGTGTGTGTGTGTGTGTGTGTGTGTGTATTCTTGTTTAAACTCAAGGGGCAGTCCTGGACCCAATAAAAGTCATCTACTCCTGGCTCTGTTTGAAATCATCTTTCAATATTTCAGTGGATCTGTGATTTCATTGATGTGGACACCACCTCCAATGGAGAAATCCATTGGAGCAATTTATTCATGCCTTTTTATACTATGTAATTCCTGTTCATGTCCTCCCATAAAATCATCCCCAGATGATTCACCCAAATATTCTAGGGAGCCATCTTTTAGGCCTCTTGATAATATATGAATACCAAAATAGCCACTGTTATTCCTAGCTCATACTTTATGACTGGCCCACCTCTCATTCCAAACATGTATGTGTAAAATTATGTATGTATGTATATGTGCATATGTGTGTGTATGCTTGATGACATTTTTTACATTATTTTTCTAATGCAATTCTTCCCTAGCCATTATGCCACAGCCTCTTTGTGCCCACTATTAATTCCCCTCATTGCCTTTTAGGTGAGTACTCACTTGATTCCTTAGATATTGTGGTATTCCATGATTCCTAGCCATTTAGCATCATCAAAATAACATTGGTATTAAAAAGATAGGTTTTTGTTTCAAGAAGAAAGTTGAGGTCACTAAAAGGATTGTGTAATTTCTCAGATACAATCCAACATGTTTTCTTTCTCCTATTCATTTTTCAACACCATTCATTGACTGAAGTATCTGCTCAAGATCGGTGTATTGATGGACCGTACATCTTCAGACTCTCCATCTAACTTCATATCATGGTAGATGGTGTAGGCATTTTTCATTTGCTTGATTTTTCCTGTGTGAGTATTTAGGCTAAATTTCCTTAAGTTTGTGTCATTAAAAGGTGTCATCTCATTTAAGGGGCTCAGTAATGTTCCAGGGCTTGCTCTACCACACCATTCACAAATAGCATTTGGAGGACCCTGAAATCTGTAGGGAATCAATCTTTCATTTAGACTCTGCACTGAATTTCTTACAAGACAGTGGAAACACAAAGCCAAAAGTTTTTGGTGAGCATATGTCTCCTTGTTTTTGCCTCAATTGATATTAATAACCAGAGAGTCAAATAAAGTCAGCTTTGTTATACCTATCAAGGAACCTTACATGATTTAACATAGCCATGAGAATCACTGTTATAGGAAACCCTTCAATGCTCTACTGAATTAAATGCTTTTTTAAATCAGTAAGCTATAAGTACAATGAGATCTTGGTTTATCTTCCCCTTTCTATCAATTTTGTGACTAAACATATATGGTCCACTTCAGAATATCATTTGTGAAAGCCTTTCCCTTCCCATATTTTCATCAAAGATCTTTTGATTTGTGTGCAAATTTTTCTTCTAAAGACTTTGTAGAGATGTGAAAATACAACTAAAGGTTGGTAGCTATTGATATCTTCTTAATCGTCTTTTTAATTAATACCTGTCTTAATTGTCTAATTACGTCTGGAATATTTTCCAACAATATCTTTCCTTCTTTTAAAGACTTTGAGAATTGATCCTACAACAACCTCAAAATTATGTTGTCTCCAGAACTGACATCTTCTGTGTACAATTGGTTTAGTCCAGATGTTCTTCCTATCTTTTTTTCTCTTACTACTTCTAACTCCTCATGCAGCACTATAAGGACTATGATGTTAGAATCCAAACATGGGTGGGAATCTCAATATCAGTGATGAAGAAAATGGTTTTGTTTTTAGAAATTACAGATCTTTTCTCATTTTTCATCTGTTTGTCATCCTTCTCTTAATATCGGTCTTAAATGCTCTCAGGGTGATATGGCTAAATTGGGTCTTGTGCTAATTGTTTACAAATTAGTTTCCCCCCCCCCCTCTTTATTTTGAGTTCATTGTACATATAATCTTTCCCTGTCCTCTTCAGTAACATTATAAAAATTGGTTTCTCTCCTAAACTTGTGTTGCTTGACTGCTGGTTAACTGGTTCCTAAGTTTTTATTCTTAGCCTCCACATTGTTTATATCAGTTAAATTTATGTAGGAAATTATGATAGTCTGTACCTTTATCCAACTTCCATTGGGAGAGAGCATCAATATCTACTTTAAATAGATCAGGTGGGAGCTATTTTAATTGCATACTATATCATCTTGTATTTTTTGTTCCTCCTAATTCTCTTTTACTCTCTTAGAAGTCCTTTATTAGGAGAAACTGTATCTTCAGCAAACAATTCTAAAAGCCATTCACCGGAGCTCAGTTTAGTCGTCACACGGGGTAAATTCTTCAAACATGCCATGATATTCATGAAGCTGTCAACATCAAAAATCTTGAGCTCCCAACAATATGGAGCAAGTCAGCCTATCTCTTCAGTAAAATAAGCTGTGGGTGGGTCGACACAGCTGTGGGTAATTTCTGACTATGGTTTTGGTTAATATGAAGCCACATACATAATCTAGCTGAGATAGCCCACATTTATGAAGCACTGAAGGCTTGTGAATCTTATACATTATCTTGTTTGATCTTCACAACAACCTTATGAGATAGATAGGTGATATCATTATCTCCATTTTGTACAGAAGGAAATAGATTCATGTCCACTTACAACCACACTCCAGGTTCTCAAAAAAGTTTTTTTTTTCCTATCAGATTTAAGCAGATTAATTTCTAATTTAAAGGAAAAATATTTAATTAATAGTGCTTAACACAGTACATAGCCCATAGCAGTCACTTAATAAATTCTTGTTGACTGACTGACTAAAAGTATAGCAAGATAAATGAAATAGAGAGTTCTCCCAATCTCCACAGGGATATACTCTCCCACAGACTCCTCTAGAAAGACCACCTTCCAACGCAGCTTGTGAGTATTAGAGATGGGACTTGAACCCGTGACTCCTGATTTCCCAGTCCAGTCCTCTTTCCAATCTACCCCTTCCAACTCTGAAAGAGCAAAGGAAAGGGGAACACTACCTTGAAAAAAAGGTACTTCAGAGGAAACTAGAATGATTTAACCAGGCCCAGCTAAATGTGGGGTCATTTCTTGGCATGATGTGAAATGTTTTCATATCTGTAGTAAATCAACCTGTTTGTATAGTGATAAAGCCAGATGAACAGCTAACTACACATGACGGTGCAAATACCACTGTTTCTCGCTCATCTGCCACTCTAAGCCTCTGACACAGTACTCGTTACTTCATGTTAATGATGTAGTGTGTGTGTGTGTGTGTGTGTGTGTGTGTGTGTGTGTGTGTGTGTTGCTTAACAATAGAAAAGCGGATCATGCTGCAGCAACTGTTTCAGATGCTCAATATCCCTGACAGGTGGTAGGCTGAAAAGTGCTTTGGGGAACACTCACAATCACATTTAGTCTTGGGCTGCTGATTTTTTTTTCTTTAATTAAAAAAAAAACCAAAACAATAAATGAGGGGAAGGCCACGATCAATATGATCTTACCTGTCCAAAGCAATGACAGGAAAGCTGAGGATAGTCACGGAACAGAACACTTTGTGTAAGAACTTCACCACTTTGCAGAAGAGCATGGTGTAACTCCACCAGCAGCAGTGGGCACTAGCACTGAGGACGATGTCAAAAGGCACGCATGCCAGGCTCGCACAGATCCCCGAGCAGGCCAGGTTTTTAATGAACCTGTTGGTGACAGATTTGAACACAGTTGTGCGGCAGGTCGACCACAACACCATGAAGTTTCCTGGCCAGATATCAAAAACATAAAACAATTAAATAAAGAAAACATAGGTTAAAAAGTCCCCAAAGACTCAAATTCATATTTATAGTTGGGTTTAAGAGATACTGCGTAAATATTTATACTAATTATATTTATGTAAAGCTAAGTGGTGCAGTGGATAGATCGCCAGGCCTGCAGTCAGGAAGAGTCATCGTCCTGAGTTCAAATCCAGCCTCACACATTTATTAGCTGTGTGACCTTGGGCAAGTCACTTGACCATTTGTCTCAGTTTCCTCATCTGTAAAATGAGCTGGAGAAGGAAATGGCAAACTACTCCAGTATCTCTGCAAATAGGGTTCATGAAGAGTCAGACATGACTGAAACAACTGAACAACAACACCAATCTGACACAGCCTCTCTATGGGTCAGATGTACTGAGAACTCTAAGTAACTGGGGTTGTAAATGATGGAGAAGATGACAACATTCACTGGCAAAGGAGTTTCTTTATCCTGGAATTCCCTATACCAGTGAAATCTGAGGTCCAGTCCCAATCCCAAAAATAGACCGGTAAGGTTTATAAAGCACTTTCCATGCAGTATCTGATTTAATCTTCACAGCAACCCTCTGAGGTTCCACTCTTATTATTATTTTCACTTTTCAGATAAGGAAAGTAAGGCTCAGAGAGGTTAAATTACTTGTCCAAGGTCACACAGATACTAAGTATTAAGAGCAAGATTCAAAGACAGTCCAAGTCTAATACTTTTAGGTTCGTAGATCTGAAGTGGGTAGGGGCATAAAAAGTCAGCTAATCCAACGGCTTCCTTTTACCCAAGAGGAAACTGAAGTAGAGCAGTGGATTCGGAGCCAGGGCAGAAGTCAGGAAGACCTGAGTTCAAATCCCACCTCAGCCACTTACTAGCTATATGACTCTGGGCAAGTCATTTAACCCTGTTTCCCTTAGTTTCCTCATCTGTAAAATGAGCTGGAGGAGAAAATGGCCAACCACCCTAGTACCTTTGCCAAGAAAACCCCAAATGGAGGCATAAAGAGTCAGACACGACTGAAATAACTGAACAACAAAAACAACAAAACTGAAGCTCAGGGAGGTTGCCAGACTTGCGCAGGACCATACAGGATGAAAATTTGAACCCAGGTTTAATGCAAATTTTGACCCAGGCTCTCACCTAAGAGCCTGTACTTTATATTATACTACATTGCCTCCCACTATAAATGGCTGCTTTGTAAATGTCCACACGATGAATTTTCTTGGGCTGAAATAAGATGATAAGATCACAAATACAGAGCTGGGAGGGACCTCATAGCCTTTCTAGTCCAGCCCCTCCATTTTACAGAGAACACTAAGATCCAAACAACTTCAGCCACCCTTTTTCACAGCATTGTAACCCCAGGTAAGAAGAAAGTAGGGCATCATGTTGTAAGGTTTTGACGTTATATTATTCATGATGAAGTCCCAAAATCAACAGGCAGCTAAATTGTCCCACTATGACCTACTTGCTGCTACAAAGGGTGAAATAGGCATCAACAAGCCCTTTTGCATATGTAGGCCAGTTGCTTGAAGGAAATGTATTCTTTTTCTAACTTCCCATAGGTTTGATATGCTGACTCAGAGAGATCAACTCAGCAATTTGCAAAGCAATTCAGTCTAAGAGTTGTGTGCATTACTTCCTATTCTGGTCCCTCAGGCCTTCTCAAACATCCCTTCCTGGCAGTGGGGTTATATATTGGGCACTGAGAATATATATAGTCTGAAGTTCTACTGATGTAGCCATGATTCTCCAGGCTTTTTCCCCTCTCCTTTAGGCACAGCTGAGATCCTCGACTGAATCATCTTCACTTATATAAGGTTCACATATAGCACATTAAAGCAAATAACAGCTTTAAAATGTCATCCAGTTGTGGGAATTATGCAATGAAAGGAGTATCTTTAACCTGAAATCCTAAATTATCAAAATTTGGAGAGCCTCTGACTCACTGGATAATGTACTGTATTATTTATCCCTTCTTTGCTACCAAATAAGAAACTTAGTACAATCTTTTTCCCACTTATTTACTACCTCTGCTATCCTCTCTGGCTTTGGCAGTCACATGCCTGATGAACTTCCTGGATAATTGAAAAAAATAGGAAGAGTCACTTGCAAAAGGAGTAAGCAAAGTTGGTTGCAACTAATAATGTTGCTTCAGTAAAATTACTAGGTCTTACACATATGTAGGGCCAACAACTCTAGAAGGTAAGTAGTGAAAATATAAATATCCCTATTTTACTGAGGAGTAAGCTGAAATTTGGGGAACACTTTATTCTTTTAAATCCAAATAGAGACAAATTTTCACAGTATCCCTCAGATTCTACTCCATCTACCTCCTAAATTCATGGCAAGCATGAATATATGAATAGTACCTGTTATCAAAGTATAATATAGTCATTTCTTTGGGGAGGGGGATTTAAAGCCTTTTGATTGTTGGGCAGTTTTTTAGAAATACCACTTTCAAAACTAATGCCAACTTATAATGAATTCCCATTTTTTATTGCTATCTTTAGATAAATATGAGAAGAAACACTACTACTAGATCTTTAGTCTGATTGCCAAAATCACAGGAAACCTTAAAATCTAAGTCAAATAATTAATTTTCTGAACCTTATACACTGGATCTTTATCAATCTATCCCCAACTGTTTCTTTAATTTCCCTTTATGCTGAGACCCATTTGGCTCTTTCTGAATCCTCTGCCCTAGCACTTTATTCTATACTGTTCTATGCCTTGTATATAGGGATTAGTGTAGCAACTGGACCTGTGATCTTACAAAGAACTCCCAGGTGGTAAAACTCCATCAACCAATGCAAGTCAGCACCTTCTCTCCAACTTCTGATCTAGAGCACAGAGAGGTTAAGTGATTTGCCAAGGATTCCAGAGTCAGTATGTCAGAATCCAGTTCTCCATCTACCACCACACACTGCCTTCTTGTTGTGTTGTTCAATCATTTTAGTAGTGTCTGACTCTTCATGACCCCATTTGGGGTTTTCTTGGCAAAGATACTGGAGTGGTTTGCCATTTCCTTCTCCAGCTCCTTTGACATATGAGGAAACCAAGGCAAATGAGGTTAAATGACTTGCCCAGGGTCTCATAGTTAGTAAGTGTCTGAGGCTGGATCTGAACTCAGAAAGATGTCTTCCTGACTCCTGGCCCAGAGCTGTATGCACTATGGCGCTGATGTGGTGCTTGGGTGCTTATGTTTGGGTGCTTGTACTTGGACCCCAATTTCTCCCTAGCCTCAGAAACACTGTCCCTGACAGTTTCTCCCCAGCCCAAGGACACTGTGCCTAGCAATTACTCATCAGTGGGCCCCAGGAAGACCCTTATCTCTCTCCTTGGTGCAGTTCCAAACAGCACCTGAAGGAATTATTAGTTTAAACTGGTTTTGCACTGGGTCATAAAGACATTCATCCTCACTGGACTATATCTACATCCTGGGCTCCTCACTAACTGTATTCTAGACTTAAGACATATATATACTCCCTACATCCATCTTGTCAAACAAGACATTGATTGGTGGCAGACTGGACGACTCTCAGTTACCCTGAATTCTGGTTGACTTAGTGAAAACCACACCTCCATGTGACCCCCTTTATGGGCTTTTCCTAGTGAACTCTGGGTAAAATGCCTGCGCAGTAGGTACAAGAAGTGCATGTTTCTTTAAGAACTGACCACTCCTTAACCACCCCCTAATCCCACCCTGAATCCCCTAGTTAGCATATTTGGCACCTGTTTTATTAACTTTAACTGCACCTCTCTAAGGTTTCAGGAATCCTTAAGAATCCTTGCCCACTGAAAAGCGTAACAATAAACTTTGCCACCTTGACTTAAACAATGCTTGAGTCAATGAATTCATTCCAGATGACCCATCATGTACTTCAGTCTTTGAGGGGCACAACCTCTCAACCTCTCACCCTGCAACAGTGCCACCAAGCTGCCCTACACTGCCCTTGTATATGACCATTTTTTAAAATGCTCTCCAAGTCCATTCTCGCTTTTCTCATTGTAAAACCTCACTTAGTTCTGTAGTTCATATTTCACAGAATCACAGTATTTCAGAGTTGGAAGGTAGCTCCAGAATCATCCAGTTCAACACACACACACACACACACACACACACACACACAAAGGAATCCTCACCATAACATATATAACAAGGCCATACAGCTTCTACTTGTAGACATCCAAAGAAGGGGAACCCACCACCTTTTGAGACAGTCCATTGATATAGCATGTTGTTGTCATCTTACAAAGATATATTTATCTCATTTGAATCTAGGAAACTGATGTTAATGACAATGTCAGGGTAGCAGCACTGGGGCAGTAATATCCACAATCAAAGGCTAAACACAAAACACCAAAGGACATTCATAAATACCACCCATGGCAAGACAGGCATGTGGGTGTCCATTCAGTCTCCTTAGCATCTATTTCTACTAAGCAAAAACTGTGTATTTAGTGTACTTCTTGGTTTCTATTGTAAGGCTCTTGGCAAATATACAACCAAACAACCAAACTGACCATGACAACAACTTCAAACTTGGTATATTCCATTTAATAAAAGATACTTAAATAAATGATTTTAGAGACCACTTCTTACCTATCTCTCCCTACCAAAAACATTTAATGCAAATGGACCAACCAACCACACAAAACCTATACTGTGACTCATCTATTCCCAAAAGTTATTTTCTTTTTACATGTTTTAGTGACTGTATGTATTCATTGGCAACAGGGAGAGAAACAGATAGATAGACAGATAGACAAAGACGGAGACAGAGATAAGGAGAGACACAGAGAAAGGGATGGAGGAGGGAGAGGGGAAAGGGGAGAGATAAATGGGGTCAGTCCCAAATTAATGAGATGCAGCTGTATAGAGGAGTATAAATAAATATTGTTGTTCAGCAGCTTTCAGTTGTGTCCTACTTTTCATGATCCCATTTGGGGTTTTCTTTGAAAAGATACTGGACTGG